ATCTAGCTAGTGACTAATTACCCATTGGATACAGTTTTAGAGTGTGTGTATGCGTGCCTGCATGCTAAAATTTATTAATTAACGATGTATAAACTAAAATTTATTATTTGATCATGTGTAAACTAGTATATAAAATAGTACTGTTAACTTGTAGTAAAATATGACAGCAAATGGATGATTCATCATACTATATAATTGACGATGAATATATAGATTTTTCAAGGTTACAGATAAATCTTAGTTGCAACATAGATTCTCAAAATAAGAAATATATCCCAGCTAGTTATGAACATAGATTTTTAGCATAATAGATAAATGAGTTGGGAACATAAATTTTCATTTAAAAGTTTAGGTTTTAACTCCATGGCTGGAACCATCCACGAATTCCCAAAATCTGAGAAAACACCACCAAATTATCTTCACTTCGCTTATGGGTTTTAGTATTGTAAAATCTTTGTTTTTGACTGCATTACATAGCTCATATATATTGCGGGGAAAAAACTTCTTCATGACGCACACAATGTTGTGGGGGATGCAAATTAAGAACCATCAAATGACTCATAATATATCAAACAAGATAGAAGGTTGTAGTGTTTCTATCTAATACAACAAAAGAACATTCCGTGCAACATACAGGTTTCATGATTCGATCAAGTTAAGACTCTTAAGGATGTATACGAACTAATTGATTGTTTCACTGAGAATGGTTTGGACGCAGAAGCAAAGTAATATTTTCTAATGGTGAAGTATTAATCCATCTAGTCATAGAGCTCATTAAGGTTAGATCATGGATTTGGATTAAAGAAAAAGTAAACAATGGATTTGCTTCATGTTATGAGTGGAGAGTGAATCTTATCATCTCCATGTGGTATCTTTGTCTTTATTAAAAGTCCTGTGAATTGGTCACAAACTTAGACACTTGATGTAAATGGATATGAGTACTCTCCTTGTACTCTGAATAATACATTTTTCTCTTGGAAAAAATATATATATCGGAAAAGACTTTAAAACAATTGTAAAAGCTCCAAAACACTAATAGGCAATTTTCGTCGTAAACAACTTGGAACTTTTCCATTCTAATTAGCTTTTATATTTTTTTATAAGCCAAAATACAAGGGCTACTCAACTTTTTTTCTAGACATATATAGAAAAAGAAAAGTAACATAATTATCAATATTGTCAGACACTGTCTGCCGCCATTGCTTAATTAAGGTAGGTATCTTTTAGATGATTGATAAAAGATTGGACTTTACGGAAGTTGGAGAAGAGGTTGTTACATTACAATTTCAGAATGCATAAAACGGTACAAAAGATTTTACATACTTATTGAACGAATAACATAAGAAAATGTCCAAGATATGATATGTGTTCTTATCAACTAAAAGAATATGATAAGTTTATTTTATAATTTTTTATATTTTAAATATAAATTTTATTACATAAAAAAGTTGAATTAAAAATAAACTTGATAAGTTAATATAATATATTTAATCTATTATTTCGAAATGCTTCAATCTTTTCTTTACCAAATGAATAATCCCCACGAATCTTCTCATGTCGAATTTTAAGTTCCCTACCTACATCATATTTCCCGTCGACTACTGGTATTAAGCTATCAATTCCGGAAGAAAAGAATATTTTGTCTATATGAAACATTAGATTCATGTCCCTAAAAAATCTGTAGTCAAAATAAAACCATAAAATAAAATGTTAAAAAGATTGAAATAAGGCAATAAGCAATATATTTCGTTTTTTTTTTCACTGGTTTTATTTATATATTAGAACAAATGAGTAGGGTATGTATGAATAATATGGAAAGCAAGAGAAATGGCTGCGGCGCCGCTTGCTGCCTTATAAGTCCACTGATGCACGAGCTGGTGAGCTGTGGCGATGAATTATGATAAATGCCTCACATGTCACTGTAAACCGACCTACTTAAACAAATAAGCCCCGCAGTTTCCGCTTCCAATCGAGACTCTTCATTTAATTCGTGCTAGTTCATGAATTTATATCTTTAGCCACACTTATATAATCTTTATTCTTATTATTCTTACTGATATATAAGATTTGTGAAGTTACATGGACCACTAAATTGAAATCATTTTTTTGAAGCCTTCTCTCGTTCATTTTATTCAATATAATAAATTTTTCATTATTTATAATAAATACTTTTTTTCCTAAGATATATGGTTTCATCATTACCTTATTAAAAGGATTCTAAGTTTAAAAAAAATGATCATTGTGTGGTTCATGGATTGAACTAGATTAGGACCTTTAAGTACTATTTGATTGGCTATGTCCATGTTTTGGATGTTAGGATCTTCAAGTCAAAGACATTTGGGGTGGATGACACTTGCAATTTCAATATCCTGTCAAATATGATTTGTTAGTGTGTTTAAACATCAGACTGTTAAATTTTACTAAGACCTTCTAGGAATTCTCGAAATGATGCCTGGCTTGGCACAATCAAAGTAAGGATATATGTTTAGCGGTTTCTGGGTAAGGCTGGTTAATTTGCAGTTTGAGACAAAGAAATATGATGGAAGACTGTAATTGGATTTGAAACATTCCAATAACAGAGTAGGTCAAATTGTTCTTATGGCTAATCTTGCATGAAGCTCTTCCAACTAATGTTGTGAGGTATACTAAAGGGGTGTCTTATATTCCAACCTGCAATCATTGTTCTTAAGAATATACTTCATTATAATGCACTCTCTTAATGTACTTATTTATTTGTTAAAATTTATTAAAAAATATAAAAGTATCAGTTAGAATTATTAAATTAAGAGTAAATTTTATGTATTTTTTAATAAATTTTAACTGTGTTAGAGTATCATTAATTGCGCAAGAGATTGTCCTCATACCCAGGAGGTTTGGATAAGACATGATCTAGTTCAGCACCATCAATTTTTCAAGATAATAGAACATCTTGGATCATCAACATGGCTCGGAGTTTTGATAGCATAAGTTAATTAATGTTTATCTTGTGGTGGTTATGGAAGTGGTAGAATAAAATGAAATTTGACACTGACAAATGGAGTCTATTTTCTTTACTCTATGCATGATGGTGCTTGGCTTTCTGGTTTCTCTTGGCATTATGGAGATTTTCTGATGGAACCTCTCATTTTTATTGTGTAAAAATGAGATATAACATGCACTTATTTTCTTTTTCACAGTCACATTTTTTTTTCGTTTGAACCACAATTCTTTTGAAGCTTCTATATTAAATTAAACTAATATTTTTATTTTATTCAATAGAAAATTATAGTTCATAATTTGTTAATTATTACTCAGTTTTCTTTTGCAAAAAATCACACAGCAAGAGAGATAAAAGTCTTTTGTTCCCTTTTCTCCTCTTTCTGACTTCTCAATTAAAATTCCACGTGGATAGAAATCTTAATTTGACGTACATTCCTTATCAAATAATCGTCTTACTATTTTTTAACATGAAAACAATTGCAAAAACCACGACGATTTCACTGCCTCCCCTTCGTCCCTGCTGCAAATGAAGACCATGTTTTTGTGTATCATTGAGATAGTAACCTCAGTTTTTTTAATATAGTATTAGAGTTTATTTGATTTAAAAGTTGAACTGTTCACGTTCAATCTTAAACATAAAAATGTGCTGATATAAGCTGTATTAGTTAAAAAATATAATCAAAATATTCTTTGTAAAACTCAAATAATATTTCTCTTTTATCTCTTTTTAAAAACAAGTTAAGCTCAATTTTTCAATAATGATACAAAGAAAGAGATTTCCACACGAGAACAAGACGTGAGGGATTGAGGAATAACGGTGTTAGAAAATCCTTTAACTATTCAGAAATTTTATTTAAAGGAACACAGGGAAAGGAGACAGAAATTTAAACTTAATGATACATAATTAAATTTTGCACACAATGTTTGTAGGTGCCATTAACTTAGAATTGTAAAAAATGAAACATAAATACAAGAACTCTTGTTAATTAAATCACAATATAATGGAATCTTAGAGCTTGTTTGATTTAATTTTGCTTTTCAGTTTTTAAAAATTACACTTTAAAACAATTTTATAAAGCTATTTTTAAGAAGAGAATAAAAATAAAATTTGTTTGATAATTTAATTTTTAAAACTGTTTTTAAGATGAAAAAATAAGAGAACTTATTTAATAAATTTGTTTATAAAAATTAAAAAAAGAAAATGTCTTTGATTTTATTTATTTTTTATTTTTTATTTTAAATTATATATATATTTAATATTTAATTTTAATATTTTTTATTTAATTAAATATATTTTTTATATTTAAAAAGAAATATTGAATTTAAAAATTATTAAAATAAAGTCATAAGGTTACTAATGTGAGCAAAGAAGACATAAGATACTGAAAGGTTACTCATGTAGCGCGGGAAAATGTGAAATTACTATGAAATTCTAACCCATTCTATTTACATTATTTATTTAATTTATTTATTTATAAAAATACTATTAATAAAAAATGAGTTTTTCGCATCTTGCAAATTTTAGAAAAATAAAATAAAATTTAAAAATAAAAACAACTTAAAAGCTATTCTGTACTTTAATTTTAAAAATTGAAAATAAAAACTTGTTTATAAAAATAATTTTAAAATTTAAATTAATAAATAAGTTTTGAAATTTTGAAATTTTAAAAATTAGAAACTCTTCTTAAGAAAGGGAAAAAACAGCTCCTTATACTCTTGTTTCCCTTGATGTTTTTGTGACACATGCTTTTGTATTTCCCGTAAAAGATATTTGTTTGTTATCTTTACACTTCTTATGAAGTATCAATGACTAGACACACAAAAGGTGCAGAAAGAATATATGAAGATAAAAGTTGCGTCTAATTAGTCAGTGTAGAATAGAGTGTCTCATATTTTAAAGTGTGTTAGAGGGTGCCAAGGTTCTGCTTAATCCTAAACTGGATTGTGATTCCCCGTTGAATCGTTTATTATTGGACTTGTTAAAAACCTGAATTACAGAGTAGAAGAAGGAAGAAAGAATGATGACAACAAGAGGTAATAACTCACATTCAGTTTTAGAACAGCCTCAACCAACAACAACAGGGCTCTACCATGCAACGCCTCGTTCCTCTTCCACCTGCAAAGCATGCTGTTGCTGCATCTTCCTCTTCTTCTCCTTCATCGCTCTGTTAGCCCTAGCAGCACTGTTGGTTATTGTATTGGCCGTCAAGCCCAAGAAGCCATACTTGGACCTTCACCAAGTGGGCCTCCAATACATCGCCATGAGGCCCAACCCAAACGACCCAGCAAGCGCCAACCTGTACCTCATCATCCGCTTGGCGTTGGCTGTGGTGAACCCCAACAGGGTGAGGATCAGTTACGGGGACTGCAGGTTCAGGCTCATGTTCCGGGGAGTGCCGTTGGGGAGAGCCTCGCTGGCGGCGTTCTGGCAGCATGCTCACAGCGTCAGGGAAGTGGTGGCAACGGTCGCCGTCGATGGGGTCAACCTCTCTCAGCCTGATTCCGGTGACTTCACCAGAGACGCTTTGCTTAATGACAGGGTGGAGCTCAGGGTTTTCGCACATGTTCCCGCCAAAATTCGCCTCTTCAACCTCGATTCTCCTCCTCTTCACGTAATCCTCTCTTCTCTCCCTCACTCTTTTTTTTTTTTTTTTTTTCATGTTTAGTCATTTTTCACATTATTTCAATTAAGTCAAGTATTTGAATTAGATTAATTTCCATTAACTTCTATGAGATTATCTTCACATATTCTTTTGATTTCTTTAGAAGTAAGTTTATTCAAATCTAAACTAAACGAGCTTTTATTATATTGATTGTCATGTTATGTGCTTTAAAGATTATTAACTTCCTCCACCCATTTCATAACATAACCTTCACCAGTTACTTTCTTGCACATTTCTTCATTACACGTTCACATATTCTTAGATTCTTTGGTCGCCTCTCTTTCCACTTTTGTGTTTGTGGCTTGGTACTTTAATTTCTTGTGTTTATGATGCTCTTTAATTCACGTATGTGGGGCAGCGAGGGGTTTTGTGTCTTATTTACCGTTTCTTTATAGATTTGTTTTTTACTCAATCATATCGTGTATGCACATAATAAGTAGTTTTAAGTCATTATTTTTTTCTTTAATTTAAAGTTACTATGTTTTATCAAAACTGCACGGGAGATGGCACTACTTACACCACATTTTTTGTTTTCACTTTAACCATTAAGATATTATTAGCTTCCAGAATCAAATTCTATCAATTGCTTTCTTTTCACGCTCCTTTATGCGTTCCTCTATAATGTACCGTGGTTAAATATTCCAAATTTCTAAAAGCCTCACCTTTATGCATTAGATTTTTTTTATTTTATTATTTACCCTACTTTGAATACTCCTTTTCGGTTTGATCATTTCTATTTTCTTTTGTGAAATCCTCAATTTTAATTTTCAATTACTAACGTGTTGTTTTAAGCAAAAATAATGTAATAATTTAACAAGCGGTGGGATGCAACAAAGACTTGACTACTCTAAGTTCGTGTGGTTTATGCAGTAACCAAATTTTCCCATTAACCTTTCTGTTATGGCAAAAGATTAATGATAATGAACTCAACTTTACAGGTATCAGTAAATTGTGTTATAGTGGTAAGTCCAAGAAAGCAATCTCTAACTTACAAGCAGTGTGGATTCGAGGGATTGAATGTTTAACGAGGGGAAGTCATCGCATCCCTTTAGACTTTGACATCATCGATTTAAATTCCTTATTTATTTTTTTTACTCATTTTCTCAATTGTCTCTCATTTCTTCGAGCAACTTTGAGGAAGAAATTTGAAGGGCAAAGGAGAAATTCAAAAATTGGATGGGGGTATTAGAAGTGAGTCACAAAATTGATTAATTGGAAAGCTGAGGAGGCAGATTTCAGAAGGGATATCAAAGTAACATGTTCAACAGTTTGCCAAAGAATTTTGCAGATTTTTTTCAGTTTGTTGCTTCACTTTGAAGAAAGACAAAAAGGCAGCTATAATATATGGTAAAATCCAACAAGTAGCTGAGGTATTGTGAACTCGAATCTTATTCTCTGTCGCCTTTCAACTTATTGTGATAAGGGAAGTTTAGGACTTTTGTCCGAGGCATTCTTGGAAGTGTAAATGTAGGCCAAAAAAATGAGATTATATGAAATAAGAACATAGGTGTTAGGCTTATTTGTTGAAGATGTGGTTCCAGATGTTAAAATAATTACTGTTCTTCATTCTGTAATGCTTGAAATATTAGGATTGCTGCTATCCACACTTCCTATTCGCAACTTTGGATAAGTCAAACTAAATAATGTAACATGAGTACAGAGGATATACCCAGAAAAAAAAAAAAGAATATAGAGGAAACATAACTGAAACATGTTAACTTCATCATGTTATACTCTGTTGTTGACAAAAAAAAAAATGTGATACTTTGTTTTTTTATCATATTTTATTGTGAACTCTTTTATATGTATACACACTTCATCATTATAAAATATGGTCTGGATAGATAACTTTGTAAGTTGATTGTTGAATCTAATCTTAATGAACATATCTACACTCACTTCATTACTTTAAATGAGTCAGTATATTTGAAAAAAAAATCCTTACTTTTCCAACCATTTTAATATATGTGCTTTTATATTTTTATTTCAAAAAATATAAGGAGGAAAGAAAGCAAGGCAATGTTAGAACGTAAAAAACAGAGAAAAAAGAATATGCACCGAAAGAAATAGGAGAGAAGAAAAAATTAGTAAATTCATGTATATGGTGTTTAAGTCAAGAGAAGTAAAAGGAAAAAGAAAAGAAAAGAAAAACTGAATTCTCTCTATAAAGGCAATTTTTAATCTTATAATGAATAAAATATAATTTTTGTTTTATTTTGCATGAGTAATATATATATTACATTTCTCTCTTTCTTTCCATTTTTCCTTGTTTGTCAAACCACTTCTCCTTTTAAATCATTTTAAATAAACAAAATATGAATTTTAGAAGCCTAAACAGTTAGGAAAGAGGAAGAATATTTTTGTTTTTTTGTCAAATATGCTCTCAACCTGACATTTCTACTTTTATTAGCTTTCAATAATACGTAACATGTAGACAAATTTTGTCAGTGAATGCAGAGTTTGGGAGTAACTTCTATCTTTTGAAATTTAAGGACTTGTTTATTTGATGTTTTGTTTTATTTTTTCATTTAATTTTAAAAATATCACTCTATTTTTATTTATTTCCATTTTTATAGATAAATATAAACAAAAAATATTATTTATATAATTATTTGGAAATAAAAATAATGTTATTTTTAATTAAAAATATTTTTCAAAGTAAATAGGTTTTAATATATTTAATTCATTTTTAGACTAATTTAACGATTGATTAATTGAAATTTAATAAAAAAAAATATGATAAACACTTTGTCAAAGGATGACTTCTTATAATAATAATTAGAGTTTAAAAACCAAATAAGAAAAAATTAAAATCGAATGCGTTGATTTAATAAAATATTAATTTAAAGTTGATTGTCTTAACAACTGTTTCCTCAAGTTTAAATTTAAATACTTCTCCATACAATTTTTAGGCAAATAATTATCAATATTTTCCTTACAAAGTTTTTTCTAACAAAAAAAAATTCTGTCCGTAATGATATTTTAAAACAAAATAAAAAAAAAAGACATGAAATTTCCAACGAAAATGGAATTACAATTTCAGTTAAGTAAAATTAAAAAAAAAAATGACTACAATAGATGCACACAAGGTGCAATGTGTAGATCTGAAACAGAAACCCTATTTGGATCTACCTCAACCAAACTCATTCAGCAGCATTACCCCATTCCCAATTCTCCATCCCTTGCACTACACAACCATGTCTCTCAATCTTCGTCAGAAACAAACAGGTAACTCTCTATCTCTTGCAATTTCATAAACGAAACATCGTTTTGGTTTATATTAACGATCTTCGTTTACTGATTCAGAATGCATCGCTCGAATGCTGAACCTGAACCAACCCATCAACTCGACGGGAACGGCGAACGAAGAAGTGTACAAGATACTGATATACGACAAGTTCTGCCAGAACATTCTCTCCCCATTGATCCACGTCAAGGACCTTCGCAAACACGGTGTCACTCTCTACTTCCTCATCGACAAGGATCGCAAACCCGTTCACGACGTTCCCGCCGTTTACTTCGTTCAACCTAACCAGTCCAACGTCCAACGAATCGTTTCCGATGCTTCTCGATCGCTGTACCAGAGTTTACATCTCAATTTCTCAACCTCTATCCCTCGCCCCCTCCTTGAAGATCTCGCCACTGGAACCTTAAATTCTGATTCAATTAGCCGCATTTCCAAGGTCCATGATCAGTACCTAGAGTTTGTGACTCTCGAAGATAACCTCTTTTCCTTGGCCCACAATTCTTGTTATGTTCAGCTTAATGATCCTTCTGCTGGGGACCGTGAAATTGAGGAGCTTGTTGAGAAGATCGTTGGTGGGTTGTTTTGTGTTTTGGCTACTCTTGCTGTTGTGCCTGTTATTAGGTGTCCCCGTGGTGGCCCTGCTGAGATGGTTGCTTCTGCGTTGGATCAACGAATTCGTGATCATTTGTTGTCTAAGAACAATTTGTTTACTGAGGGTGGAAACTTTGTGAGCTCGTTTCAGCGCCCGGTGTTGTGTATATTTGATAGGAATTTCGAGTTGCCGGTTGCCATTCAGCATGATTTTCGGTACCGGCCGCTTGTCCATGATGTGCTTGGTTTGAAGCTGAATAGGTTGAGTGTGCAGGGGGAGAAAGGTGGGATGAGATCTTATGAGTTGGATAGTTCTGACTCGTTTTGGCTTGCGAATGGATCGCTGGAATTCCCAGAGGTTGCAGTGGAGATTGAGACGCAGCTGAATAAGTATAAGAAGGATGTGGATGAGGTGAATAAGAGGACTGGTGGAACTCACGGCGCAGAGTTTGATGGAACAGATTTGATTGGTAACACGAAGCATTTGATGAATGCTGTGAACTCTCTGCCTGAGCTGACTGAGAGGAAGCAGGTGATTGATAAGCACACCAACATTGCTACTACATTGTTGGGTGAGATTAAGGAGAGATCACTTGATTCATATGCGAAGAAGGAGAATGACATGATGGTTAGAGGGGGCATTGAGAGGAATGAGCTCCTTGGTGTGCTCAGAGGGAAGGGAACAAAGATGGATAAGCTTCGCTTTGCCATCATTTATCTTATTTCTTCTGAAAGCATTAATCAGTCAGAAGTTGAAGCTGTGGAAGCGGCGCTGAGAGAGTCCGAGGTTGATACTGCTGCTTTTCAGTATGTGAAAAAGATCAAGTCATTGAATGTTTCATTGGCTTCGGCAAACTCTGCCAGCAGAAGTAATATTGTAGATTGGGCTGAGAAGCTCTATGGTCAGTCAATTAGTGCAGTGACAGCTGGTGTGAAAAATCTTTTATCCAATGATAGGCAGCTAGCATTGGCAAGGACAGTTGAAGCCTTGGTTGAAGGGAGGCCAAATCCTGAAACAGATTCATACCTCTCCTTTGATCCCCGTGCTCCCAAGTCTGGTTCAGGAGCTAGTAGCAGCCATTTGAAAGGGCCATTTAAAGAAGCAATTGTATTCATGATTGGTGGCGGTAATTATGTGGAATATTGCAGTCTGCAAGAGCTCGCCCAACATCAGCAGCCTGCCAAGCATATTATATATGGAACAACAGAAATTCTAACCGGAGTTGACTTTGTAGATCAGCTTACATTGTTGGGGCAGAAGATGGGTTTGGGTAACGTTGCTTCTACCTCAACTCAGTAGTTCAGATGTGGATGTAATACATTTCACATTTCAGTTTGCCAAATTATTCTTTAATATACAAAGGAAAACTTTCAGACATCGAGGTAACACAGGCAAATTCAATCTGCTTTTGATGTTCATTGTCTAGAAAAGATGAAGGATTTTGTGCCTTATAGTGCCTTCTTGATTATAAAGCAAGGGGACTGTTTCTTGCTTTGTAGCTTCCTGTAGTATAGTCGTATATGCTTTATCTTCATTGTAGTGAAAAGTTCTTTGAAAAGCATGATGTGCCTTATATGCTTTATTTTCATTCTATAGATGTTTCGGTCATCGAAAATCATCATGTATTAATCAGTGCACGTTTCTGCAATTGGATATATTCTGCTTGTCTTTCAACCATTCTTTAAGCGTCGGGTTTAGATTGAGTACTACCTAAATCCTAAATTATCAGTATGCAATTAACTCTGGTCATTAAGTTATGTTTATTATCAAGGCTTATTATTTTTATCTTGTTTATAATTTTCTAAATTCTGTTACCCGATGACTTCAATTCATCATCCTATTAACCATACGACTAGCTTTGGGGTACCGAAAGCATGAGATAAGATTATTCTATAAGGACCAGAGTTTTGCCTTTGAAATTGACTAGTACCAAGGTCGTATTCGGTATGTGTTTAGTGCATTGTGGTTAAATCATAACTTAATCTCAGTCCCACCCATAAAATTATAAATGAACTTTCTTTTTTATTTGAAGGTTATTGTCAGTTATGAACTGTTCCCTTTCTAGCAAGAGGCACTAAGCTAAGGAAAAAACTGAAAAGTTTGTAAACATTGAGTTTGTGTATGAAATGTTCAGCAGGAATGCTGTCATACGCCTTCATGATATTTATGAGTGGCTTGCATACAACAGTAGCTATAAGCACACTTAAGAGTCACATGGTCATGATACTGATCTAAAAATTTAGCTTAAATATCTATGAATCAATTTTTTGTACAATCTTAATAATAAAACTTTCTGAAAATTGATATGGGGTAGAAAGCCCCCTAACAATTACATCTAATTAAGAATTTGTTTCAGCATTCCGAGAAAAACCATAAACACCCGCCGTATCAAATGCAGCAATGCAAGATCAAATTTTGCCATCGGGTTTGCTTAAAAAAATATAACTTATCTAATAATACAGATTACATATAATCATAGGCCAATTTGCCTAAGAAGAGTGTGATGCTTTATTAATGAAAGGGTTTGATTTGACCGTAGAGAGTACGAAATCTGTTTTCTTGTCTTTGTTTCTATTGCATTTTATCTTATCCTATCCCATTCTATTTTGTGATATTTGAAAACTATCGTCAATACCTCGGCGCTAGTACTTACAATAGCAAGTGCATTTCTAATGCATTTATTAATTTTTCTCAGAGACCAGAATTACTACGAGCAAATTTATTTGCTCTGCTATTCTGCCCAAGCCTGGCTGAGGAAGAATTTCTAGGCCTTAAACAGAAAAATGCAGATTAAAAGATTAGGGCATACTGTATTTATATATATTCTTTGTATTTCCCATGAATATTTTTATCATTTCTTGCCTAAATCTTAGTGAACAAGATACAAGGTGAAGACAATGTAACATTTTTATAATTATTAGCGAGAAGATAAAATAAAAATAGAAAGCATTTCTATGAACCGAATGCATTAAGACTAATTCAAATCTGCAAGGAATTTCATGTATTACTGTTATTGCATCCAGATAATGTTTTCCCATGGCCATCATTCATGAATTCAAATGATTTTGCCAGCTCTACAACCACCTGTTTCAGGCGACTTTGCATCTGTAATTCTACATTAAGCTCGTCTATATGCTCTAGCGGCATCCAAATAGATGCGCAATCAAGTTTATAGGAATATTTTAGTATCCAACTTAAATTTTAGTTCACTAAGATTTTAATGCTCTTTAAATTAAATTGAGGGTAAACATTACATGCTTACTTTGGAGACAAGTTCACGTTGAATATTCTTGATTTATGTTCAGCTTCATAGAACTCTAAGCAAACTTGTAGTCCCTGTCAACTTGAGTAAGTTGCAAAGTCCTTAATTAAAATATTAACCAGTACCCTAAGTGCATTGTTTAAAGAATAAAAATATATTAAAAATGTCATTAATGCACATATACCGTATTTCCAATACATTCCTAATATAATTTTCAATAAAAAGTTTTTATATTTTGATTCCTTAAACTGTCTCTTAAACACTGGTTTAGCAAAACCCTTGATCCAAAAATAAAGTTGCATTGAGAGAATCAAAGTTGCCAATGACAAAACAGCTATTTCTGCACAGATATCTATGATCAGTTGGGTCTCCAATTTATACACAATGTAACAAATTAAGTGTGTTGGTTACTAACCTTAACAAGTTATAAATTTCACACACAAGGCTTTTTCAGTTATATATTAGTTGTTAAAGCAACTTCAAAGTTACCTCAGCTTCTAAATATTCGTCTATTGGTAGAAATAATTTCAGTAAAGGCTGCCTCTGACTAAATACAGGAAGAAATATTGAGTAAACTTAAGCTTTGTTGTACTGTCAAATGTTTTTGTTAATAATAAATCCTACTTATGATATCCATTCTGACCAGCTCTGGCATGATAAGCACCAATACAAGCAACCTTCCTTAAAGCTTTGTGGGTCTTGCGTTGAAGGCAAGTGACACCCCATCGAGTTACGACACCTTCATAACCCTTACCCTTGGTCACACCAATGATGTCTATCATCTCATCCTTTTGGAAAACTGCATCCACTGGGATATGCTTCTCAAAGAAGCCATATGCAAAGTTCACTTTCTGTGCTACTGTCCCAACATTGACTTGAATCTCCATCAAATGTGCCTTCCTCGGCTTTAGACCCTTCAACTTCCTTATCTTCAGAAAATAAAACAAGATGATAACATTACAAAATTGATCACAGCCGCTTGCATGTCCAGCAAGAATACTCATGGGGGAACAGCTCAAAAAATTAGTAAAGAATATAAATTGCTTAAAAATAGTTATGAAATTGAACTACAAACTAAATAAAATATAATGGGAACACGTATTTACATGAGTATGAGCCAGAACACGAATGTAAGTTGCATATTTCTTCAACTTCCCAAGTTGAGATTCAATGTCTTTCTTTCCTTCCTCAGTTTCTTTCTTTTTATTTTTTCGTATACCTGGGGAAAGCCTTTTCTTATATTTGCACCAGTTCTGGTAGAAACGTCTTTTAACTTCCTCTCTTAGATGCTGAGCCCAAACAGCATGCACAGTACAAAGGCCACAAGGAGTCTTCGCATATCCCACCACTCCAACAACAACCAAAGGACGAGTTTCAATGATAGTAACAGCTTCGCATATCTCTTTCTTGTGAAAGTTCTATAACAGCATAAAGTCACAAGTTACACAGTGACCAAGGACATATTAAACGGGAACACAGTGGGAAAAAAATTAGATCCAGACATTTAATTTGTAGAAGGAATCCAAAATATTTTAGATACGGATACATAAATTTGGAATCATTGACTACGCAAGAAAGATTAGCAATTTAAGTTGCTTTCCTAAATATTACAACTATGACTTATTAAACATGGATAACTGTTTACCATCTTCACATTCAAAACAGAAAATATAGAAGATACTAATGATAAAGCTTTATCAATTTGAATGTGGAATAAGACAAGAGATTGCAAAAATAACGCTGACATACGTCAAAGTGAAATATCCAAGAGAGGTCAGTGCACATAACAGCACCAATTCAGATGAATCAGCTCACAGACGGAAACCTTTACACAGATTTATCAATCCTGTTTTTCAAACACAACCACATACAACAACAATATCAATAACCAAACCTAATCCACAAGGTGGAATACTATATGGATAAACAGTAAGCATCAGGAAACACTATCACACATAAAAGATCTATTCATGCACAAAGAAAACATGCCATTTTCTGAGTGCAGGTGGCTCAGCTGCTGAATGTTTTGTTTTCAGAATTTGAAAGATTCCATGCATAAGTTCTCTCACACACACACACACAAATAGATGCTTATCTCAAAAAATATATTTACTTGAGGAGCAATTGACAAACCGCAAAAATACCAATCTTCCAGCCATCCAAGGTTGAATTCACGTAGTGTTGACACCAGCAAATTGATCTATTAAAGGAAGCATGAAATGAGTTACAAGATTTACGACAGTTGTCTAAATGCTACAACCATCCAAGAATAAGAAACAACAACTACTTTCTTACCTCCAAATGTTTGCCAGAACAGAAGAAAAACGATTTCTTCCATGTCAAACCAACATTTACAATGTTACCTTAACCAGTCAATATCATTTTTCCTATTTGTCAGTAATAGCATGGTTAAGTTGAATGTGAGCATCTCTAACAATGGCAAAATCTGATATCTATTGCCAATTGAAGTCATTCATTCTACAACAGCAAAATTCTCGTTGGCAATCAGAAGAATCAAGAATCCACCCAACTATACCCTGCTTGCTTCTTGACATTCTTTTCTTCCATCAACACTCTCACTCTCTCAGCATCATCCCATTGTTCCAAATTAGCATACATATTATATAACAACACATAAGGAGCTGAACTTGCTGGTTCAAGACTGATCAAAGCTTCAGCTGCTACTTGGGCCAATTCTACTTCATTATGAATTCTACAAGCACCTAGCAATGCACCCCACACAGCCTTATCTGGTTTAAATGGCATGGTTTTTATCAAATCCATAGCTTCCTGGAGCTGCCCCTGCCGTCCCAAGATGTCCACAAGGGAGGCAAAGTGCTCAACCCGTGGCTCAATACTATAGTCATTAATCATGGATTCAAATTGCCTTCTCCCTTCTTCAACTAATCCCACATGGGCACATGCATTCAAAACTGAAATAAAGGTTATATATGTAGGGTGAATTTTGAGCCTTTTCATAAGTTTGAAAAGCTCTAGGGCCTCTTCAGCTAAGCCATGAGATGCATAGCCTCCAATCATTGCATTCCAAGTGATCACATCCTTATAAAGCTTTATCTCATTAAATACAGTGCATGCATCAACTATTGCCCCACATCTCGAGTACATGGTAATAAGGGAATTATTTATTGGCGAATCTGGAAGAACAGTCTTAGTGACAAGCTGATGTATCTGCTTACCAAGGTAAAGATCCACCAACCCAGTACACACACTGAGAACTGAAGATAAAGTGTGTCTATCTGGCCTCTCTCCCTCAAGTTGCATCTGAGAAAATAGCTTAATAGCACCCTTATAGTCTTCATTTTTCTCATAGCCAGCTATTATCGAGTTCCATGAGATCAGATTTTTGTAGGGCATTCTCTCAAAGAAATCTTTTGCAAGTTTCAAATCACCAATCTGTGCAAACCCAGATATTATAGAATTCCATGAAAGTGCATCAGGACTTGGCATTTTCCTGAAAAGCTTTGAAGCCTCTTCCATGTCAGAGATTTGAATATAGCCACTGATCATGGTGTTCCAGGAACAAGTATCCCGCTCCATCATCCTATCAAAGAGTTCCCTTGCAGAAAGAATGTCTCCTGCTTTCACATAGCACATCATCATCGAATTCCATGAGACCACATTTCGTCTGAATCTCCTTCGACCCTCCTTACCATCACCTTGACCATTCGGTATTCCATCAAAAATACGCCGAGCTTCATCCACCTCTCCTCTCTGGCCATAACCCGCAATCAAGGTGTTATAAGCATACACCAAATCATCTTTCTCATCATCCTCATTCCCACATTCAAGCAGAATACTAGCAGCCATATCCAACTCACCATTTCTAACAAGCCCCGATATAAGAGCACTGAGAGAGGCGGAATCACGCTCAGGCATCATCTTGAAAAAACCAACCGCGGAGTCCACATCGCCATTCAACAAGAACCCAGAGATCACAGCATTGGAGGACACAACATTCGGTTGCGGCATGTCGTTGAAGAGCTTCAAAGCCTGGTCCATTTTACCATTCTTAGCGTACCCACTGATGACCGTGTTCCAAGAGACGCAATCTCTTTGGGGCATTTGATCAAACAGATTTCTTCCTTCCTCGACAAACCTTCTTCCACTGCACGAGAAGTATCCCGATACAATGAGGTTCCACGACACAATATCTTTTTGAGGCATTTGGTCAAACAGTTTGCGTGCCTTAGCAATCTCTCGGCGTTTCACGTAGCCACTAATCATGGAGTTCCAAGTTACGGTGTTTCGGTGCTTCATGGAATCGAAGAGTGCCCTCGCTTCGCTGAATCTACCATCTCGAATCAAAAGGGAAATCATTTTGTTGGATTGGAGCAGTATCTGTGACGAGTTATAGAGATCAGTTACAGAAGTTAAGCGACGACAACAGTGGATACGAGGTAATTGGAATGCGTTACTCATCCTCAGTTTCGTTAAAATGCCGTATAGAGTTCCCATACTGTCTCTCTGGTCCCTCAGCGTTAGCAAGTAAACGACCACCGTTTCAGCCCTGCGTTTAAACAAGTGTCTACGCGTGATCAAACCCAAGAGGTTCTGCTCTGCCTCCAAATTTGATTGGACCAATAGAAAGTTACAAAAGGAAAATCGTGTGTATCAAGCAACGACAAATTTCACGAAAAGATTAATAATGTGAACGCATTCAAGTGAAAAAAAACCCAGCAATTCAGCATCTCATACATAGCAACGACGATGAATTGAAAGAAACCTGCGCGCGAGAAACAAACGCCACACGTAGAATGCAATCCGTACAAATGAAGGTCGAAAAAAGTGACTCATTTTAGATGTTATTTTAATCATTTTTATTTTAATATATTAAAAAAGTATTTTTATTTTTTAATGATATTTTTATTTATTAAAAATAAATTTTAGCATCATCGTTGCTATAAAAGGTAAATTTATAATAATTTTAATGTAAATAAAATAAAATATGAATAAATAATAATTTTTATTACAAATTATAATATTTAATATTTTTAGTATATTAAATCGTGTGACTTTCAATAAAATATATTTTATATATTTTTATAACTTACTTTTAAAAATACATTAGAAAATCTATTAATAAAATTAGGATAAAAGTGATATTTTAGTCTTAATTTTATTTTTTATTTTAATTTAACCTTTTAACTTATTTACTATATTTTAATTTTTTAACTTTAAATTTTATTTTAATTAGATTCTTTTAAATTTTTTGTTCAAAATTTTTTAAATTTTAAATAAAACATTTTTCATTAATCACTGTTTCACTTCAATTAAAGAGAAAAAAAAAAATAGGAGCCTCTTGATGGGCCTACCTTATATTAAATATGAAAGAGTCACTATAAAAATATTCAAAGCTTATTTTATGTATTTGATTAATTTCAGCAGTGATAAATACGATTGACTTAAATCTTTTATTGATAAAATTATAATTTTTTTTCAAATTTTATAAATTTATTTGTTTTTCTTATACTTTTGAAGAGACTAATAAATGTAATTACATTTTTTTTTATCAAAATGATGATTATAATTTTTATTTAGTTCTCTTTCTTCAATTTCTTCATATAAATTTATATAAGTAATTAGTAATTTTTAATTTTATTGAGCTTTTAAATTTTAATAATTAAAAATAATAATAATGATGCTAAAGGAGACAATAATAGTGATTAAAGTGTTTGTATATATTACTTCATAGAATAAATAATTTAATTTTACATAAATTAATTGTATTTTATTTGTAAAAACATATATAATTTATAATATAATCTTTTAATTTTATTATTTTATTCAAGACAAAATTATATACAAATTCTAAATATAGTTAAAAGAAAACCTATTTAATCTAAAGTTAAATTAGAACCAAAATAAAGATAAAAAGAATTGCAAGAATAAATAAAAAATTAAAATTCCAAAGTATTAATTTTGACGAAAATTATTTATTTGCTTCAGTATAAACATAATATTGATTGACAATTAAACTGAACAGAATATGATGCTATTGTTTACGTAGCATATATTTTATTTAATTTTTTTATCTTATAAGTACGAAAAAAATGCTACCTACTTTTTATTTCATTTTAAGTAATCATATAAGCTCATGAAACAATTAAGAAAAAATTATTAACATGACATCTTTAATTATAAGAAATATTGCACAAAACTAATTTTTGACAAGGCACTTTCTTGTGTCTTTAATATTTACTTTCATAATTATAAAAATACTATATTATGTTATATCTTGATTGAAATGTAAGAACAAAGTAGAAACTGAATGTCGCATATTAAAAACCTCTGATTACTAAAATCAAGCGTGCATTCCAGTCAACTTCCAGTTTTTATGCATTCAAGACACAGCAAATAAAATAAAATCAGAATGTGAAAATTAAAAAGCATTAACTTTCGGCTATTCCTTTATCGTCCAGAAGTCCACAAGATTGAAATAAAAGACCGCAAATATCCACAACCATAAAAAACAGTAGAGAGGTTACAAGCACCTAGCATAAACAATAAATACAGTACTACTCTCGGTGAGAAATATCACCATAGATAAATCGAAAGAGAAGCCACTAAAAGACTTATTTTGCTGCAAAAATTTTTATTGCAAATGTTGCTGGCAAGCAAAATTAAAAATTACGCCTTCAACCGACCATAAAACTTCTGCTTTTCCTGCGTGGTCTGGAAGCGCCCATGTCCAAACTTAGACGAGGTGTCAATGAACTTTAGTTTGATCTCTTCAAGAGCTACTCGAGATGTCTGCTTGAGTAGGGACTGCCTAAGTGTGATAACTCGTTTCTTGGGTCCAACACAGCATCCTTTGACCATAATATAATCATCCTTTACAACTCCATAGTGAGGGAATCCACCCATAGGAGTGATATCCTTCTCCGTCCTATATTAATAGCAAAAGTTAGCATACATGATGAAAAAAATGTATAAAGAATTGCAACACAAAATACAAGACTTTTAATAGCCCTGCCAATATGTAACTTGGTGATTTCATTACATTTTAATTATCTACATGAACTAATGGCCAAGCAAAAAGCAAATGCTCAAGCCTAGAATATCCAACAATACCAGTCACAACAAAGGTAAGACTACTATACCTGTCAAATTCAGTGATGGCTGAATGTGACTCTAGACCTGACTTGCCAACCTTGTAAATCTTTTTATTCAACTCAGTTCGGTGATGATATCCATTCTGACCAGCTCTGGCAACAGTGAAAGAAACACGTGCAGGATGCCAAGCACCAATACAAGCAACCTTCCTTAAGCCTCTGTGGGTCTTGCGTGGAAGGCGAGTGACACCCCATCGAGTTACAACACCTTCATAACCTTTACCCTTGGTCACACCAATGATGTCTATCATCTCATCCTTCTGGAAAACTGCATCCACTGGGATTTGTTTCTCAAAGAAGCCATATGCAAAGTCCACTTTCTGTGCTATGGTCCCACCATTGACTTGAATCTCCATCAAATGTGCTTTCTTCTGTTTTAGACCCTTCAACTTCCTTATCTTCAGAAAATAAAACAAGATGATAACATTACAAAATTGATCACAGCCTCAAGCAACAAGACTTGTGGAGGAACAGCTCAAAAAATTAGTAGAGAATATAGATTGTTTAAAAATAGTTATGAAATTGTAAGACAACAAAATAAAATCTAATGGGAACACATAGTTACCTGAGTATGAACCAGAACACGAATGACAGTTGCATATTTCTTCAACTTCTCAAGTTGAGATTCAATGTCTTTCTTTCCTTCCTCAGTTTCATATTTCTTTGTGTACTTGGTGAAAGCCTTTTTCTTAGATTTGCTCCAATTCTTGTAGAAACGTCTTTTAACTTCCTCACTTAGATGCTGCGCCCAAACAGCATTCAGAGTGCGAAGGCCACGAGGTGTCTTCACATATCCCACCACTCCAACAACAACCAGTGGAGGAGTTTCAATGATAGTAACAGCTTCGCATGTCTCTTTCTTGTGAAGTTCTATAACAGCATAAAAGTCACAAGTTATACAGTGACCAAGGAAATATTAAATCAAGGCACAGTGGGAAACAAATTAGACCCAGAAATCAGCATGTCATTTGTAGAAGGAATCCAAAATATTTAGAAACAGACACATAAATTTAGAATCATTGACTAGGCAAGAATGAATGATTAGCAATTTAAGTTACTTTCCTAAATATGACAACTATGACTTGTTAAACATGGATACCTGTTTACCATCTTCACATTCAAAATAGAAAATAGAGGATACTAATAATAAATCTTTTTCCATTTGAATGTGGAATAAGGCCAAAGATTGCAAAAATATCACTTATGTCAAAGTGAAATATCCAAGAGAGGTAAGTGCAAATTACAGCATCAATTCAGATGAATCAGATCAAAATGGAGATCTTTAAACAGATTTATCAATCCTGTTTTTCCAGCATAACCACATTCAACTACATGCAAACCCTTTACTACCCAATGTTCAGAGTATTAACAAAAAAAGCATGCTTACTTGATCCAGGTTTCTCAACCTCTCTAACAATGTGGGTCATCCCAGACTTGTAACCCAAAAAGGCAGTCAATCTGCACGGTTTACTTGGATCATCTTTGGGGAAAGCTTTCACTGCAGTTTCAAATTACAATAGATGTCAAAGGAATTAGAACAGCACAACAATGTCAATAACCAAACCTAATCCACAAGGTGGAATACTATATGGATCAACAGTAAGCAGCAGCAACACATAAAAGATCTATTTATGTATAAAGAAAACATGCCATTTTCGGGTTACAGGTGTTTATGCTGCGGAATTAATAATATTTCAAAATTTGAAATTAGCCACCAGTCCCATGTTCGTAGTATATGGGTCACTGATAGAGGAGCAATTAAAAAGAACAATAACACAGAAACAAAATATTGTAGCAGGTAGCAATCAAGAAACAAGAGAAGATTGAAGTGGTTTGCTTACCCTTTTGCTGAAGTAAACAGTAAATAAGGGTGATCATTTATAATGTACAAGTCTTACTTGTTTATCAAGTCATTAACCATATTTCAGAGTGGGAGGGAGGGCTAATGAGAACCACAAAAATGCTTTACTGACAGTGGATAAAAAGTAGAAATTTTGCGTTTCATTATGTCATATTATTTGTCAAATTAGCAAATTTCACAAATTAATTAAAAGAAATAAAAACAACCCATTACTGGGAAAATCTAATTACATGGCAGTGAATATAAAATATACGGTACCTGCATTCCAAATACACAAAAACAGAATTAAAAAACAGAAACGATCATAAATTCCTCTTACACAATGGTATACAATCATAACAGCACGGAATTTCAATCCACTATGTCACTCAACACCACAATACTAGTCCTAACATCACTTTCTGCAGTGCGTTAAAAATATATTCATGTCATTGGTAAAATTTACAAAAAGCACTAGCATAAGGAACTTAGTTAAGAGAAAATTACGATAAACAATCACTTCTTCACAGTACTACCAACATATGTACACTCTTCAAACTCCAATCAAATACTAGAAGGTTGAATTAACAAGTAGTTATGCTTTATGACTGCCACAAAAGGTCGCACAGAAGTCCTCAACATTAGCATGAAAATTTTAAAAAGAGAAAACATAGGTCAGTACTTAGATTAAGGCCAAATTTCATCCAGTTTTATGTTGAGCATACTCCCAGAAACACACATTAATGAAATTACGCAATATACCCAAACTGTTACGCAACTTATTCCATAGTACATTGATACTCCTAAAAAATTAAATAAATTTGCAAATAGAAAAAGTTAGGCGCACAAAAGATTGCCTCCGATCTCACAATGAAAATATTTTACCAACACGTTGCGGTACATAAATCATGCATCACGAATTCCAGATAGTGATGAAGAAATGCTTCCAAACCAAAGGCCTATGGCGAAATCAATGCCAATTCTCGAGCTCATTTGTGTTCCTTCCCAAAAACCGTTTAATAGGATTTTGGCTAGAAGAGCCGTTTCTGAGACTCCAGCCTTGATTAATCAGTTCTTTCCAGAAGCAATTTCATTCACGACAAGGAAATGGCAATAACAAGATCATGCAACCACAAATGCATTTAAAAGTTCGGAAACACATAAAAGGAGTTCGAAACGCATTATAATTTAGTATCAAATCCTTTTCCTCAAAATCGTTTTCAACATATCAGTTAAATCCTGCAGCAAAATTGAAGTGAATTACGAAACAAAATAAATAACCGATTCACCTTTTCCGCGGTGACGAGAAGCTCGTTTCCTTGGGAGAAAGCCAAGGGAACCATGTCTAGGGTGCTCGAACTTTCGGTGAGACATCCTTTCTACCTTAGATGAAAAAACTAAAATCGTTAACATGATGAATCTTAAAAGATATAAGCATCGAGAATCAACCATATTAAAATGAAACCATGAAAACGACGAGTTATTGTAGATCCGTCGCAGGATCTAAACCGCAGAGAGAAGAGGCGAAGGGGGCGAACATACCTTCTTTGCCTGAACGACAGTGACAAGAAATGGTAAATGTATTGAACACTGCCACTGCCTTTATATAAAGGTCTCGCAGCGGCGCACTTGTTTTGCCCTAGACAAATGGATTTGGATAGCATAAATGTATATGGATCAAAATGTCCAACTAACAGGCCCAAAAACCATATATGATACTTTTTAAATTAAAAAAAAAAGTCTCTAACGACTCTAAAATATCTATTGCTTGCTTTGGGAAAAAAAAAACGTATGTATATATATGGCGTTATTTATAAATTTAAACTTTTATTTAAAATTGCTTTTTAATATGTAATTTCGTTTGGTTGAAATTTAAACACCCATTTGTCGTTTTGTATTAGCTTTAATAAGATCGTAACATGCATTATGACCTTGATTACTATTTTGGTATGAAAATTATATTATATGTTTATCTATCAAAAATCTCAAGAAAAAATGAAAATTAATTAATTGTATCTTATGAGAATTTTTTGTATTAATTTATATACAATTTTTTTAATTATAACTTTGAATTGTAATTTATTTTTGTTTTCTTTAATTCACTCACAACTTGTTTTGTTCTTATAATTATCTTATCATACTTTATTTTAAAAATAGTTAAAAAATTAACTTACCAACTTTATAGAAATAGTAAGTGAATGGCTTATTATATGTAATTTAATTCATAATGATATTTTGTTAAATATGTTAATTTTAATCTACTTTATTAAATCTATTTTTTATTGTCAATAATATTGTAATATTTTCAATGCTAGACCTCATATTTTTTTATTAATTTTTTATTTATCATTAAGTTGATTTTATGTTTGTGAACATCTCTAGTCATTAGTAATATTTTTAATATTTTTTTTTGTGATACAGTGTCAATGATATATCTTACATTTAAAAAAGTTTTATTAAATCATCTATCATAAGTAAAAATGGAGAAAATGTAATGGAGGGAAATCACAAAGTTGCACATGAGAATGACAAGGTAGTAAGTTAGTCGATAAATGATCTGCATGATATAGAAAAGTGTCTGAGAAAATCAAAATAATTAACTCATATGTGTGAAGCAAAAAATAGTATACATGCATTTTATAATTATAGGAATAGGCATGAAAAATATTGATCTTGCTTTTTCTCTTTCATTTTCTTTTTACCTCTTTACTTGTTATTTTGTTTTTTTTTTTTTTTTTGCTATATCTATTTGATATAGTAGTCTCTACCTCTTTGTAAGAAAACTCGTATAAAATAATAATACACAAAGATTTACTTTCATTCTTTATTTATCACGGTTTAATTGACTTACTGATGTCCTTGGCACATTTCAAAGTATTATGAATCAATAATTTTAAGGCTTATTTTGGTCCTCTTATTTGCATCATTTGAAAATAGTGATGTAGATCGTGTAGAAAAAATATGTTGTTTGCTAAATTATTTAAGTGCTTCATTGGTCTTCAATAAGTTTGTTATTTGGGATATATAATCTCAATTAATGTAGTGATTATGGACCACGCAAAAGTTTAAGTAATTTTGAATTGGCCTACTTTTATAAATTTGAAACAATTAAAAGGATTCCTTAACCTTATTGGATACTATAGAAAGTTCATTAAAAAATTATTCTTCTTTGACAACTTTATTGAAGAAGGACAAATTTTATTTGTGTTATATTCTTCTTGTTGTTTGTAACACTCCGAATTTAATAATAATATTTTTTATTGTTAATAAGATTATGTGTATTGTTAATTGGAAGTACATAGTGATTTGTGTGTGTGTGTGTGTATATATATATATATATATTGTATGTGAGTGTTGACTTGGATTGACTGAAGTTGGTTGGAAATATAAACTAAAGGTGAACTGTAGGAGGTTCTCGCTATAGTGAGAAGGCTCTGAATGAGAAGTATAAAACTGTGATGTTCTCGCTGTAGCGAGAAAATTCTCGCTATAGTGAGAAGACACTGGGAGAGAGGGGTGAAACTGTTACGTTCTCGCTGCAGCGAGAGGACGACAATGGAGGGTGCAATTTCGCTGTAGCAAAATTTTGCAGAAATTAGAATGCAATTTTCTTTGAGATTTTCACTGTATCGAGACCTCGCTGCAGCGAGAATGTCGCGACACCTTGTGTAATTAAGGAGTTTAGGGTTAGAAAAAATGTATTTTCATTTTCCTCTATTCTCTCTTTCGTCGGTTCTCTCAATCCCTAGTCTTTTTTCACCAATCAAATCGCTCATTGAGTCGTTTGTGCCCTAGATTGAAGATTAGAATCGTGTTTGAAACGTTTGGAGGTAAGTATTTTAAGTTAGGGTTTTCGGTTTTCACTCTTTCTTCATCTTTCTTAATTTCTCATGGATTATTCTATGTATTTAGGGCAAGAATTCGTGTAAGAAGTGTTTCTACCATTGATTTTGTGGTGGGTCTCCATTCCAAGGTAAGGGAGAGTTGATCCCAAACCCTAACCTCTCTTTGGTAGTTTAAAATGGAAAACCCTTACCTATTTTAATAACTATCTAAATGTAACTTGTAATAAAGGATTTAAATAAATCTGTCTTTGAGAAATACTACGATTTTATTAAGCAAACAATGTTTAGAAGTAGTTGGGATGTACCATTTGATGTTTTTGGAATGATAGATTTATTATTAACAACGAATGATGTCAAACCTTAGAATAGATGACATATTACTATTACCAAGAACATATGGATGATGGATTTTACGATTGGGTTAATTCCGTAAGTGTCCGACCTCTGGTACATTGTATTGATTGTGTGATGATTTTTTGTATTGGATGAATATTTATTGATGATTGAGGTATGTTGAGACTGGTTGAATTAAGTTGATGATATTTCCATGGTGAATGATATGATTGTATAGATGTTGTTTGAAAGTTGAAGTATGCCAAATGAATGAGACTATGTTATTGATGCAAGTGTTTGACTATCCTTGAATAAAAAAAAAGTTTTCTGTGTGACGTTACATGATGGTAGAATTGTGAGAAAAGTGATTATAATACAGGAGTCCGAATATATGAGTGGATGTCATTACAATACAGGTATTGTGGTACAATTAAAGAGTGTACTCATAATATATGTATTGTAATACATTGTGTTATGTGGTCAAGACTCATGTATTATGACACTTTGCCCTGTGAAAAAGAATGAAAAATGTTGGTGGTGAGTTTAGATAGCTACAGAGATACACTAAGGGTATAGAATCTGAAGAAGATTTAAGAAATCTTAGAAAAATGAGAATGGTGAATGTTCCGTGTGAACAAGTGCACAATGATTTGCTGAAAGTGAAAGCATTCACAAGTCACACACTTATTTACTGACGGGTCTCCTAACTATACCTTTATTAAAAAGGGCTAAGACAACACATGTGTATCCGTGTTGCTGGGGCTAACCAGCGGTTATCTAAGTTATGAAGTCCCCAAGGGATCCCTGGGGCATTGAATATGAAAGTGAAATTGATGTGAAAGTGCAATATATATGAAGTAGTGTAGAAGTTGTATGACTATAATATATGTATTGTAACATATCGATTGATGTTGTTATGATATATGTGTTGTAATACATCGACGGGTCAGATTAGGATATATTTATTTGACATATTGATCGACGTGGGGAATACATATATTATAATGTATGGATTAGTAGAAAGATGCATGTTATGAAATTTGCAAATATGATCGTTGTCTGTCTTGTGTGTACTCTTTTATGATAGTGAATTGTATTACTTGAGCGTCAGTGTTAATTCAATCCATGTTAGAAAGTGTTTTTAGTATTGTGTATATATATATATATATACACGATTATTTTGCTTATGTTAAATAAGAGATTTAGTGGGCGCGAGAGATACTTACCCTTACTAATATTTTCAGGTAATGAAAGTGAAGAGATAAAGATATTTGACCTGTCTTAGGATTATAATCCAAGGGTATTACAAGGAAGACTGCTCTATAGGAACTGAGATAGTTTGAGAAAATGTGTTGTTTATCTAATTATATTTCATGTTGACTAAAGTTTGTAAATGATTTCAATGTCAGATTTTAGAGCTTAAATACTTGAGTAAATTTTAGTTGTAAGGAATATTTTAGAAATGTTCTTAGTGGAAACTCTAAATTTGTATGCATTCAGTGTAAACCAAATAAGTTACTAGATGTAAATTTAAGTTTTATGTATTATCTTTAAAGTTTCAAAATCATTCCCTTGGAAATCCTAAATGTTTTGGAATTTTATGCAACTTTGATGAGAAGAAAGTGTAAGTTTTGTTTTTATGAAATTCTCAAATTCATAAATAAGAATAAAACATTTTTTATCTATTTTTATTTATTCGCTATAAATTTACTTATTTTGAATAAAGAAATTGAGGATGTTACATTGTTACTTTTAGTCATTGAAAGAGGCTATTACTCAAGCATCAATTTTGGCCCTACGCGGTATTTTTAAACCAAATATTAGAAACTAATGCACCATGTATGGGTGTAGGGGCTATCCTTATTCAAAATTATCATCTTATTGCCTTTTTGTTTTCAAACAACTTACTTATAAATTGTAGAAACAATTAATCTATAGTAGAGATTTGTATACTATCATTGAATTCATTGCTAAATCCATACATTACTTGCTTTGACACATCCAAATTGGTCAGAAAAGCTTGAACAACTTAACTAAGTAGGCTATCCAAACACCTAAACAATAGGCATGGTTACATAAGCTTCTAAGATATAATTTTACTATTGAATATAAACATGACAAGGAAAATATTGCAGTTAAATCTTTATCTAAATCTTTTTTCATGGCCTGATCCTAGTTTAAACTAGAAATATTTATATTATTAGAGATGTTATCCTCAATGATGAGAATTTGAAGACTATTATGGAGTCATGCAGCAATAACCAACCACCACATCCTAATTATGCAGTCTACAATGACTTGTACTGGAAAGGGATATTGGTCGTTCCATCAAATGTATATATTGCAAAAATTTAAGCACATGTTGGTTTTACTAT